AGCTGCCATATAAACTGAACGATCGGAATCAAGTTCTTGTATGGAAAACTTTCACATTTGACAAGACATATTCACGAAATTTGGTATAGATAATTTTCTAAGGCAACAATGTAATCTCCGAAGAAATTGTTCAGATCGGCTCACTATAGCATATAGCTTCCATACAAACTGAACATATAGTTACTAACATAAATGCACCTGTATTTAGCTTCGGTGCAACCGAAGTTAACGTTTTTTCTTGTTTTTTTATTACAATTAGTGTGGTTATAATTACTAAAATTACTAAATATTTATTATAAATAAGTCTTTTAGTAATTGTAATAATTGAGAAAATAGAAATTACAATAATAATTACTATTATTGTAATCGAAATTTTTGATTACAATCATTATGATTATAATACTTCAGTAATGTTACATATCGTAAATATATTTAGCAATAATTGTAATCATTGAAAAATTATTTACAATTATTAYTACAATTAAATTAAATTACAATTATGTATGATCAGTACGACTACTCTAGTCGTTATTTTTGATTACAATCAGTGTGACTATAATAATTAAATAATAATATTTAATATTTGGAATTACACTTGTTGTAATTATAATCATTACATTTGTTGTATTGTTATTGTAATTTTAATTACATTCATTGTGGTTATAATTGCTAAATAATATTTATTTTAAATTAATTTTTCTGTAATTGTAATTGAAAAAATAGAAATTACAATTGTAATCATAAATAATCAATAAGATTATTGTAATAAAAATTGTTGACTACATTCATTATGATTATAATACTTCAATAATATATGTATATGGTACGTCCTTTAAATAAATTTTGCTATAACTGTAATCATCGAATATTTGATTACAATTACTGTAATTGTAATCATTGCCATTACCACAATTGCAATCAAAAATCATAAAAAATTACAACGAGTTTATAACGAAAGTATTCGCAATCAGGCATTTTGTTATTATATTTACAGTAATCGTAATGCTAAAAATTTATTGATTACAATTGGAATAATCATTGTCAGTGATTAAAATATATACATAAATAAGTATTTTTCTAATTCTAAGTATTTTTCTTACACTTAATTTCTCCTCTTAGATCTGATGCCGAAATGTTTGTTGGATTCAAGCCAGCTATTGAAGCTTGCTATCTGGACTGGGAGGAGTATCCAATACCGGGCATTACACACACGCACGATACCAATCCCATATATTACAGCCCTTTCACATGTTTCAAGCCTGTCTCTTATACACATCTAGATGTGTATAAGAGACAGTCTTAGATCTGATGCCGAAATGTTTGTTGGATTCAAGCCAGCTATTGAAGCTTGCTATCTGGACTGGGAGGAGTATCCAATACCGGGCATTACACACACGCACGATACCAATCCCATATATTACAGCCCTTTCACATGTTTCAAGCACACCGATTCGAAAAGCGAAACCAATAATGGACAACTAAATGCTACACAAGCGGTAATGGCTAACAACAAACACTATAACTACATCAGTTCATCTACAGATCATGGCGCACGTGGCACGTTCAAGCAACGTCACGAACGTCTCTTTGTTGAACGCTTCTACATTTCGTCGAGCAATAATTCGAGTAACTCCTCAAGCGATAGCGTACATGCGCGTCTACATCAAGGACTTGGCTCAGCTGGAGTGTCCAGTAACGCGGGTGGTGTTAATCCCGCTGCAACTGATGGCTCAACCAGCAATGTTGGTGCAATGGTCGCTGGCGCCAGCAGCGTCTTAGCCAATGTGGAAGCTGGACCAAGTGGGAGTGGTCATGGTGGTGGCGGCGGCGGCGTACCGGGAGGCGGTGTCACCATCAACAGCATTAGTGGTCCTTCCGCTATAGCAGATTTGCCACGCTTACCGATGAGTAGTGTTTCCGGCAGTGGTGGCAATGTTGGTGTCGGCGTCGGCGGTGGTGGCGGTGATGGCAATCGTTCCAGCGCTAGTAGTGAAGGTTTTTGCGAGAATGAAGACTTTGGCGGTGACAGCAGCAGTAATAATCTTTGTGCGGAGGGTGGACAAACGCTTGAGCCGACACATGCATCCATCGTGGGATCCGCAATGCGTTTGGAGCAAGCGGAGGCACAACGCAACTTTGCCACACTAGGCGCAGACGTACCAGTTATGGTTGGGCCAAGCGGCGGTTCTTCATATCATATACAAACAACCACTTCACTTTCATCCGACACCTCCTCGTCTACATCAAGTTCGTCCTCGAACTCCTCATCGTCATCGATGTTGATGGGTGCAGCCGGCATTGATACCACACCCGAAATTACAGCGAAAAGTAATAGCAAAAAGCTAATATCTGTAAGCGATGTCAGACGTTTATCGAAAGATGAATCATTTTCCTCATCTTCTGATGAGTTCACCACACAAGATTCGCCAACTGCGGTTAAGTCCACTGAGCTTACGACAGGGGCGAGCACATCAGCTGCGGCGGCGGCTTCGGCAGCGGCAACAGTTCAAGCTTCGTCTTCAATGGTGCCGATACAAACAGCAAACAAACAAACGTCGCCCGCCAGCACATTCGCTGCTAACGTGCATGCAGCCGCCGCAGCAGGAACAGCTGGAAATAATCCGTCAGCATCCACCTCGAACACAGCACAACACACAGCCGCAGGTAGCAACGAGAAGCCGCATATATTTTCGAATGTGCGTCCCACTGAGGATGCCTGGGATATACTTTTGGCGCGTTCGGAAGGTTTACATGCGCACGGGCACGGGCGCGAAGCATGCATACTGGCCGTACGCTTGGCGGAAGAAATGTTGGCCAATCCGCCGAACTTGATGGTGGAACTGCCGCAGATGCCGAAGCGTAAAGGTAAAAATAAAAACATAAACCCCATTTCACATCACCTAACTGTGCTGGCGTCGTCCACTTTGTCGAAATGTGCATTCCTGTGTACGGTGCTGTCGGAGAACTCCGAACACTTTCACATCGCATTCAGAATTTGTCTATTTGCATTGGAAATGCCACGTCCACCAGCTAGCACAAAACCGCTAGAGGTCAAATTGGCCAATCAGGAAGCTGACATACTCACCTTACTGAAGAAGATACCACTGAACGAGCCGGAGCTCCAAGTGATACGTGAACGCGCTGAATGCTTGCGCAACGGCACTTTTAAATCACGTGGTGAAGCATTGCTACCCATAAATCTGGCGACATTCATATTCGATGCGCTAGTTATGCCCATGATAATTGTCAAAGAACCACGTAATCCCGCATTAGACGTAATGTATCGTCTGCCATCAGATGAAAATTTAGGTTTCGAAGCCGCTGTGGCCGCCTTGGGACTGAAAGCAAACGTCTCGGAAGCGGAACATCCGTTGCTATGCGAAGGCACACGTCGTCAACGTGGCGAACTGGCATTAGCACTACTCTGCTATTACAAAGATGAACCACGTAAAATCGCCAAGATCATGGAGAAACTACTGGATCGCGAGATACATGTGCTGTTGAAAACACCATTGCTGCCAGCCTACTATTCGAACAACCCACCCGTACGCACCGCTGCATCGTCAATGTCGCGTCGTGAGGAGCACGAGTATGCCAATGCCATCAATGGTGGCGCACACAATGCCAATCTCAACGATGTGTTCCCGTCGGACTACGGTTCTGTAGGTGGCAATAGTCGGCCGCATAGTTCGACCAGCGCCGAACTCGAAGTAGGCATGAGCGCATTGAGCGTCTCATCGTCACAAGGTGGCGGTAGTGGCACGCTAACCAGCGCTACTGGCAACAACCAACCGATGACCGGGCCGACTGGTCAAACAAACGTCACTGGCGGCGCCACAAGTCGCAGTAAAGATAGTCGTTATAAGGGTAAGCGTGCTTACCCCTCCATACCCAATCAACCGTCGGAGGCCAGCGCACATTTCATGTTCGAGCTGGCAAAGAATTTGCTGATCAAAGCAGGTGGCAACTCTTCCACATCGCTATTCACACAAGCCACCACCAATCAAGGCCACCACGGCCCACATCGTGCACTACATATATGCGCCTTTCAGCTGGGTCTCTATGCGCTCGGGCTGCACAACTGGGTCAGCCCCAATTGGCTGTCGCGCACCTATTCGTCGCATGTGTCCTGGATCCTCGGCCAAGCAATGGAAATCGGCGCACCCGCCATCAGTTTTCTCATCGACACTTGGGAGGGCCATTTAACGCCACCCGAAGCCGCAGGCATGGCCGATCGTGCTTCACGCGGCTGGGACAACAATATGGTATATCCGGGTGCTGAATTGGCGCTGTCTGTCTTGCCACATGCCGCCGCTCTCAATCCCAACGAAATTCAACGCGCCATCCTGCAGTGCAAAGAACAGAGCGATCACATGCTCGAACGCGCCTGCATCACCGTTGAGAACGCCGCCAAGGGTGGCGGTGTCTATCCCGAAGTGCTATTCCAAGTGGCACGTTACTGGTACGAGTTGTATGGTCATAATACACCGAACAACGAACATGAACAGCACGACGATCATCTGGATCATTCGGCGGTCAGTCTGAGCGCGCTCATCGAATCGCATCAGCATCATGAAATGCAACAACAAATGCAGGCGCAAGTGCAGGCTCAACAGCAGCCGCAAGGCGGCATGGTCGGTCCACCACCGGTCATGCCCGCAGCACCACCGGGCGGCCCCAATGCACCCGGTCAGCCGGGACAGGTTGTGGTCAGCACAGCGCCGCAACCCTTCCAGCAAGGTGTTGCCACACTGGCGCCCATAGCCTTGCCACCATACCCGCCGTATAGTTTTTGCCAAAATCTATACCATCACAACATCACCACCTATCCGGGCAACCAAATGCAAATGTACATTTCAACCGGTCCACCGCCACCGTATCCCGGTTACCCGCCCACACAAGCGCAACAGCAAAATGCATCCAATATACAACCGAGCGGTCCTGCGCAGCCGAACTCACCGTATGTGCATCCATCGAGTGCGCCGAGCGGCGGTTTTCCAGCACAAATGCCACCGCAACAGATGCCGCCACAGGCATACCAGGGCATGCAATGCGGCGCTGGTGGCGCGCCACCTACCGGCTTCCTGCCACAACTCGGCCAAGGTGGTCAGCCGCAAATGCCGCCGCAGAATATGCAAAAAGTTGCCGCTGCCGCCGCTGCCGCCGCTGTATACTTTGCGCCACCACCCCAGCATCCCGCACAAGCAGCGGCAGCCGCCAACGCGGCCATGGCGCAGCACCAAATGCGTCAGCAACAGCAACAAGGTGTTTATCCGCCGTTTGTGCAACAGCCGCCGGTGCATGCGGCGCCACCACAACCACCTTTGCGTCAACGCCATCCACATCAATTCACGTAAGTCCCATAAAAGAATATATATTCTTTAGAAATGTATTATTTAAATTTTTATCTTTCAACTGCAGTTCAACACAATTGCGCTATCTACTTGCCGCCTACAATGTGGGCATGTTGGCTATGGAGACATTGGCGCGCCGCGTGCACGATGATCGTCCGCAAGCGAAGTACGCACGCAATCCACCTTACGGTGAGGACGTCAAATGGTTGTTGCGCATCTCCAAGAAATTGGGCACCCAATATCTGCATCAGTTCTGCGTCTGCGCCGTAAATTCGATTGTTAGCCCCTTCGTGTTGCATGACGTGGCCATCGAATCGGCGCACTATTTGGGCCGCAACAATCATCAATTGGTAATGCAGCATTTGCGCTCGGCGTTAACCCCTCTTGTGCAGAAATGTCAGCAAATGTAGGTTGCAAGGCAATGTGACCTTTTTTTTTTTATAATGAAGCTACTAATAAATATTTCATTATTCTCTTGCAGGTATATTCAGTGCATACACCAGAAGTTGTACCATTTGACTCTGGCTGATTATGAGGAATTCGCTAGCATTATCTTGGCAGCGCGTGCTGCGTTCCAGATAACACCAGAGGGCAGTGCGCAGTTCAAGGATTGGCTGCAATCGATTAAGAGGTGAGTGATAGTCGGTATTAATCGATGAATAACGGTTCTTGGTATATGGGAAAGGAATTTCTTCATAGCAAAACTAGTTTTTACTGAACATTTTTCATGATTTTTTAAAAGTTCGCAGTTTTTCTTTAGTTTTAAAGTTTGAGGTTATGTCTTATACCATCAGTTTGAAAAAGGTGCTTGGAGAGAAAAATGCGGGATCGATATCACAACAATTGAAGGACTAGTTCGCTTATATACAGGCAAATATGAATATGTTTTGTACAGACTCCGACGGTTCCTTTTTGAGCTTACAAGCTTAATGTACTCGGTTCAGGGTATAAAAATCTGAACTTTACAAAAGAGATGCCAACTAAATGATATTGAAATATAGGAATATTTAATTTAATCGATTTCTTCTCAAACCATAATCAAAAGCTGCTTTTAGAATTAGACTTTCTAGCTCCAAAACTGCTTCAATGTGCGTCTTGAAAGATTTTTTTTAATAAACTGATAATTAGATAACACGATGTATCGGAGAGGCGTACTAAACTGCCCAAGAGAGCTCCGTTTTAACGTTTGCCACATAACCGACATTTGACTTAATCTAACATTTATTTCACAAAGGACTCAACAAAATATCAGCCGAATTTTTACTTCCACATTGAAATTTTGCCCACCCTAAAGTATACACCTACAATTTTCTACTCTCCAGATCGAAATCCTGCAAAAAGGAATTGTGGACGCAAATCAATGCAGCTCTGCAAAGCAATTCCAAATGACAAAGACTTGATTCATTTAGTTTATCGCATTCAACAACATCAGCACCCAAAATCGACAATTACTTTTCCACCAATAATTCAACGACTTCGCCAACAACATCGGCAACGAGCGCAACAAACGTCCATAGCAACGCCATGGACAATACAACAGCAAAAAACACGATCGATAATGCCAACAACGCGAATGCTGCAACCACAGCGACGGTTGGTAATAATGAAGCTGTTGTCAATAGCAATAGCGGTGGCGTTGGTGGCGGACGTAGCAGCGGCAGCAGCAACAACCAGAACAACGGCAATCACAGCAGTAGCACACACAATAGCAGCGGCAACGGTAGCAACACACAACACAACAGTGGCTGCAGCAACAGACACATGAAAACGAATATGAGCGGCATCAGTGTGCCGACACTGCCCGCAGCAGCGCTACCCCTCTCAGCAACATCCGTAGGCAGCACACCGCCGAACAGCGCAGAAGCGACAAATACCAACAATTTCGCTTATTACACGGGCGCCGCTGAAACAGTGGCAGCAACGGCTGGTACAACAGCAACGCAGCGTCACGCTGTCGCAGCAACGCCACCACTACCACCACCATCACAAACGTTGCCGCCATCATCTGCTGCGGCGGCCTCATCAGCAACAGCGCATTATCCACCGCCACACCAGCAGCACTATGCCACGGGCAACGCAGTGGCGCCACTATCGGATGCCTTTCACCACCAGCAGATGCAGCTACAGTTGCAACAACAATACGAGCAGCATTATCAACTGCAAACGGCCTACTATCACCAGCAGCAGCAGCCGCCACCAACATCGCAGTCACAGCAAGAAGACCAATCAACAACGTATGTGGCGCCACAACAGCCGTCTACACAATACCAACATGCGGCGGCCGCAACAACAACAGTAAATCAACATGCAGCGCGCAGCAATAGACAAGCAACGACGTCGACAGCCACACACCACGCAATGAACACATCACAAGCAGCACCAACAACACAGCAGCAGCCACCCGCAGCAATGGCACACGCGTTGACACACACCACACAGCAACAACAACAACAGCAGCAGCAAATATACCCCACAGCTATGTTGGCAATCGCCACCGCACCGCCACCGTCCACAACATACGGTGTTAGCGGTGGCAGCGGTGCTTCGGCGCCTTTGGCCAACATAAGCACCGTTAATGCCACACAAAACGTCAATGTGATTTCGGCAGCGCCGATCGTGGTGGAATTCAGCAATTTCCAACTGAATTGTATGCGCACAACGGCCACAACGACGACAAATGGTGGCGCTTCAGCAGCAGCAGCAGCAGCGGCAGCAATGGTCGCCACAACGCAAGCGAACAGTGACGCGAATCGCGGCTTGGCGGGCGGCGTTATCGGGCAAGCGAACACACAACACCATCATCATCGCCACCACCATCACTATCACAATGCTGCGGTGGCGGGCAACATGCATGCGCATGCACACCAACAAGCGCTGCTGCAACAGACACAACCGCAGCAGCAACAACAACAACAACAGCAGCATCCACATCAGCACCAACACCCGCTGCAATCGGATGCAACGCTGGCCGACCGACAACTGCTGCAGCATCAGCAATATGCGCAGCAGCCAACACAGCCACTCCAGCAACATGCCACACATTACGGCTATCACCAGCCGCATCATCACCACCATCATCAGAATGTGCGGCACTACCATCATGCGCCGCCGCCACCACCAGCGCCGCTGTAAGGCGTTGAAAAAAATTAGCAATAAGCATGTAGCGCAACATGTTGCAGCAACATTGCTGCTCACACACAGTTTGCTATTGGTGGCTGAGAGTTATTATTAGTAAGAAAAGTAGTAGTTATAGTAATGAAAATAATAATAGCATAAAATAATAAAAAATAGTGAATAATATTAATAATTTAAAGTAATATTTATAAAAAAAAAAATTTGATGATAATAAATAATAACTGTCTCTTATACACATCTAGATGTGTATAAGAGACAGTAATCATAGTTTGCTTTGTTTCGTTTTGTTTCATTTATCTATAATTTAACCTTTTCTAAAATGTATTTGAAATATTTTTTTTTTTGTTCGTTCGTTTATTTATTTAATTATTTATACGTTTATTTTTTTTCGCAATTCTAATTCTTTTTGTAATATTAATAAAAATTTTTGCATATATTTACATTGTATGTACCGTTTTATATACATACACCCATATATATTTATATGAATATAAATAACTTCAGTTAGTTAAGGCTGGACTGATATTTAATGTAAAGCAACATTTACCGCATGCTTCAGGAGTTTTTTTTTTATATATAATTTATTTAATGTTTATGAGCGCGACGCAAATGTTTTTTATGCAACATTTACACATTTACAATTATTATATTTCAATAATTAATAATACGGAGAATTATTAGAGTAGGCGAAGACACGCGAGCGAAATATGTATGCAACAATTGTTGAAAACTTATGAAAAAAAGAAACTAAGCTTGTACAATTAAAAGTTAAGTGAAAGTAAAATAACAACGGCAAAACAGTAGCAACAGCAACAACACGAAAATCGCAAAAATCTACCGCTGACGGCTGTTTTCTCTGTTTTCCAGCTGCAATGTGTTCAAAATCGACAAAAATTTAATATTATTTTTTAATAACTCTTCGACTTATATCAAATAAAAATGTAAAAAGATTATTTTGGTAGCTGTTGCTTTGCTTCCATGCAACATAATTCGTAATTAAAAATTGTAATGTTAAAAAAATTAATTAATTGATTATGCATATAAATTTTATAAAATTTCAATATTTTTGTTTTAGCATTATTTGCGTAATTGTACGTGTTTTTTTGTTTTTGTATTTTATTTCGAAATTTCCTACTTCGCCCTCATGAGTAATCAACCTATTTACCTAATTTAAGGTTTATTTTTTTATATGCCAAA